GTTTGTTGAATCTGACGTGACATGTTCGTACGAACCCTTTGTACGAACAAAAGTAAGAGAAATTTAGGAGAAGAATACGAACAATGTTCTTGCATGAGGCCCAATGTGTAGGCCTGTCATGTTAACAAATTTAACTGGACGATAAATTGACTCAGAAATTATTGTGATAAACAATAATATTGTTGGAGACCAGTTTAAAATAATTTAATGATATACTAACAACTGCTGTTTACAGAAGTTTACATTAACACAGTGTAAAAAGAAAAAAAAAACAACTGTCGGTAATCCCGAGGCACCACCAGCTGTGTGAAGGCATCAGAAAACTGGACCCTCCTCTGGATAAAGGCCTTTTCACAGGCTCTCATGCTACAGAGGTTAGAGACCACGCTCCTGACAAATACCTGACACCAGAGTACACTCCTCTTTACGCTAAGAAGGAAAAAAGAGGGAGACACGAAGAGAACAGAAACAGGCAAATTATTGTCTTCATTTTAATTTATATTCCTCAATTTAATTTATCACACGATTAATTGATTTATTGTTTTTTGTGACAGGCCTACCACTGTGCCTCCTCTAGACGTGTCCAAACCATCTCAGTCTGCCCTCTAACTCACATTTGTCAGTTTTAGACTTTATATTCAAAATCACTGCTCAGACCTGTTCACAATATGACTTTGTGTAAAAATAAGAATATAATTGACATATGTGACTCATCACATCAAAATGAGGACTGTCAAATCTGGTCAAGATGACTTGAACACATTTTCAGGTTCCTGATTTTTTTCCATTTTAATACCTTGATTATCCTGATATCATGAGCAGTTCCAGGCTTGGTTTGTCTTGTTAATTAGGAACTCATTGATATTTGGCCTGAATCCAAATTTTTTTGTTTATCCTTATGAGGAATTTCTCATATAATTTTAAAGAGGAACCCCCAAGTTTTGATAGATTTACCAGCTGGAGAAAAAAAATCTTTTCAAGTTTGCAGTCAAACTTGCAAAAAATATTTTTTGTAGCTACTGTTTAAAAAAGGACTTCAGAAAATTCTTTAAGATTATATTTCAGATATTCCATCTAATGACTGTAGATAATGTATTTATTCATTCTATTATGACAAAATGAAACTGGTGCAATAGTTTTAACCAATAACAAATAGCTGCCTATTTCTCCACAAACCACTTTGAAATTTAATCCTCGGTTCCATGTGGTGGGTCACATATATCAAATACTTCCTACTGTCAGCAGAAATGGTCTATCTGAGGAAGGATGGGTTTATTTTGCACAAGCAAACAAAATTGACAAAACAACAACAAAATCCTGTTAAATTGCTCAGTTTTAACACTGGCAACCAAACATTTTTTTGCTAATACATGCAGCTGGATTTCCTGCAAATGTGCCGATTTGTAGATCTCATTTATTCTTTCAGCCCGCGTTAAATAAAAAAAGTAAACAAACAAAACAAACCCTAATGTTTAATTCTGCTCCCATGAGAATGAGGGTGCTATCCATCACACCACAGCAGCAGCAGCTTCTTCCCCTGCACCGTCTGSTGTTATCTCCACAGAAAGTTAATAATTCATGAAAAAATACTTGGTAGCTGCTGCACCGATATCAAAACAGATATGCCTCCTAATGGATGTTTAGCATAGAAAAACTCCTTCCCCGTGATTTTTGTTTCCCACAGTGGAACCAAGTGATAAGATATGTGCATGTGAAACACGGAAGGAATGTTCCTCTGGACCCATCGCTGACTTCTGACAGACTTATCTGATGTGGATGTTTGCTGGTTTTACGATCACCCGATAATTAAGGATGCCAAATGCGTAAGCATTAACCCACCCTTATCAACATACTCCCATTAATCTTCTGCTTCCAGAATTCATACGAGGAAAATGCATCAAAACACGCAGCTATTTAGTATTGGTACGTCATTCAGCGTAGACAAAATGGATTTAGTCAATTCCAGTGCAAAAACTCAGTTATATATCTCAGTTAGCAGAAAWTTAGACTTTACATGGCTGAACTGGTGTTTTGATCTTTAAGTTTTATGATTGTAGAAGATTTTACTWCAGKTATCACAMGTTTTAGCTCTCGAAATGTTCCAAWACTGAGCAAAACTCTTCCTTTTTTCACACAATCTTTACACCTTTTACGCAGATGAGACATCAAATCATTGGTGTTTTTGTATGAGTCTCTCACAACTGCACAGTTTTCACTTAAACCCCTTCAGAGTGCAGAAATCCAACCTCTTATTGACTTCCATTGTACAGTATCTACAGGCTTTTCTCTTCAAAACTGGAAAGTAAATTTGTCAGGTCTCCATAAAACACTGTAGATTCTCTTTCTGCTGGTTGTTTTATGATTGTTGTCTCTTCTGCATTTTTCTATCCGTATAATCAATCTCACACTATCTGATCTGGACACTTTGTCATAAATCCTCACATAAATGTTGACTCAGATGCGCCGGATCAGTCGTGATTTAAAGCTGTTGTGTTTGATGATGGCAGTTTATTTAGGAACATCTCGTAACTGTAAAAATTATAGGGGAAACATTTGACAGGTGACCTCATTGCACASCCTTGTTTATGTAGGCGAGATCAATCCATCCATTCATTAAATTGTTCCATAACTGGGTCTACTCCGGTCTACATGCTCATGCTTTCATACAACTTAAGCCTAAATTTCTGCAACATTATTTTGTATCCAAGGTAATACAACTTGATTTATACATTCATTTACAGCTACATTTTTTTTCAGAGAACTTTAAGCATTAACAAACAAACAAACGCCCACACAGCAAGTTCTCATGTGGAGGGCGGTGAAAAGTTCTCCTAGCAGGTTGTGACAAAAAGGGGCTGAAAACTTTAAGCTGTGAACAAAATGACACAATTTTTGTCAACAATGAGAGTCATTTTTTCCAGTTTGGATCGAGCATACAGAGGCCTTAAGGGAGAGTCCAGCTACCCTGCAGAGAAAACTCATTTGGACCTCCTGTATTTGAGATTTCAGCCACTATAGAGTCCACGGCTACAGGTGAGAGTAGGAACATAGACCAGCAGGTGAACAGAYAGCTCGACATTTCAGCTCTGAACCACAACAGACCGGCACAGAGTCCACAATACTGCAGAAGCTGCACCATCTTCCCTCACTTTGAACAAACTGCAGAGAGATTTAAAGTACTCAAGTTGAGGAAGAACCTCACCCCCAACCCAAAGAGGACAGAGCACTTTTTTTTTACAAGACAAGAAAAAAGTCCTCTGCTTTATTTATTTATCCYTTGACATTTTATTTTATGTGCTACACTGTTTGGCATTTTAAATATCTTTTATTTGCTTTATTTAATCCATTTTTTGTTTCTATTTATTTAGTAACTTAAATTTAATGTCAGATATTTTACAAAGTTATATGTCAGCCATTAAAATGACTTCTTCATATTTAGTTTCTGTTTCTTTATTRGTCTCAGTGACTTTCAGCTGAAAGAGGAACCAGCAGAAAACAAGAGACCCCCGCCTGCCGCCAAACCACCTCCTCAACATAAGAGACAGAGCTCGAGCAAAGACGCTGACAAGCTACAGGTGGGGACAAAGGTCAAATTAGAGAGGTCCTCCGCTGTTGCTGGGTGTCACCACCTGCTTGGAAGGACAGAAGAAGAAAAGATTGTGATGTTTTGATGCGTTCCACATGTTTTATCCTTCATGTCTTTACACACAGAGAGATCGGGGCGATGTTAAACACAGAGTGACTCCTTCAGTGGACGTCTGCACTCCTGCCGGGGTGGCTAAGATGCTCATCAAAGACGTCAATAAACTCACTTCAAAAGACCTCAGACAAGGTAGATGCTTCCCGCTGAGTTTACCCTCGCATTCAATACGATCAAACCCGTTTCGTATCCTTTTAGTCCCATTTATTTACCTCTTTAGAATTGTAAACAAAGTCTACCACTCTTTCTTTTTCCTCTAGCCTTATGGAGCGTGAGCACCGGAGAGCAGAGCAGGCAGATCAAAGAGGCACTCTTCATCAAAAAGCTCAGACAGTCTGAGAGGGAGGAACAAGCCAACTGCCTCAAAAGGTAAACCCGACGATATGCTAGCAGGAAATATCCAGTTACTTTTTGTATAAGATATTCAGTGGTTAAATGAAACAATAAAGTGAACAACTGAAGTGAAACACTTAAATTTCAGAGAAGTAAATTTACAGAGTGAGTCAAAAGACTCAGGACACTCTTTTATTTCAGAAATGAAAAGGAAAATGAAATGTCTAAATACCCCAGCAAGTACCGGGTGAGGGGACCTATCTTTTAGGCTATGTCCAGAACATGATCGCCATCTTGAAAGCCGCCATATTGGATGAAGGTATAAAATGTATGAGCATATCAAAGAAGACCAGGATTGTCTCAGAAATGGATTGCAGTTAGATGTACAATATATCTTGTGGTTCCGAGGTTCTCAAAACAGAAAATTCAAAGCTTTTGTTGCTTGTCACAGGTGATATGCTACTTGACCAATGACCATCTTCCCATTGGGGAAAAGCTTGCCCTGATTCAATATGGCGGCTTTCAAAATGTTGCTCTGGACACAACTTATATAATAGGCCCCCTCACCCAATTTTTGATGGGGTTTTTAACTATTTCATTTTCTTTTTTGTTTTTTAAAAAAGACTGTCTTGAGCCTTTCACCCTGTTGAAAGAAAGCTGCTAGAAACAGATTTTTAAATTTTTATTCAACACCACAGGACATAACACCTTTATCATAAGATTAAAAAAGATAGAATAAAACTGCAAAATTTTGTTTTTGAAATTTAAAGAGCGTCTTTGTTTGGAAATAAAAAAACTCAGTCTTGTCAGAGTTTGCACATTTTTCTGGTTATCTGATCAAATAATTAAACAAAACAGTGAAAGATATTATCCTTTATAGCAGTTTGYAGTTTTGCTTAAAGGGAGATCTGTRGTAATGCAAATTAGCTGATTCAGAAAATAAAAGCATGGGTACAGGATTTTGTCTGACAGAGACAAATCACACTTTTTTTCACAGTTTTGTATTTTTCTTTAATGATTTAATTCACACAGGAAGGTTCACCTTGGCATGGACCCCATGTCTGAACAAACCCGGCGGCAGATATTGGAGGCTCGGCATGAAAACACGGTGAGCTGAGAGGTTTCTGTGTGTCTCACTCTCATCCTTTCACTTCTTTTCTTTAAATCTTTGTTGTAGAACAGATTCTCTGGTCTGAGCCTGTACAGTTGTTAGTTAATCATTTACTCTATGCTCCCTCAGGCGTACAAGTCCCAAACCAAATGTCACATTTGGGACAAAAGTGACAACAACAACAACAACAACAAAAAAGCTTCGGTCTTTTGGTGAATGATTGATTTTTATTGCGTTGCSATGGAAATAAAGCACACTCAACCAAAACAACTTCAGCTTTGAAATATGGGTTAATGTTTGTCCCCAGAACTCTCACAGACACTTAACAGCACTTCCTGTCTCATCTCCTTCTTCGCCTGTGCTGTGACACAAACACACACATGCATTTGTATTTCTATCCTTATTAGGACCAAGTATTGACTTCCATTCATTTCCTGTTGTCTCTATAGCTTAACCCTGACCTCTTGACCTAAACCTAACCCCCACAACACATACCTTACCTTAAACCTAACCTAAACTCACTTCACACCTTGATCTTAAATCTAAACCCAACCCACAATTGGAGTTCCACCATATTAGAACCAGAGTTTTGTCCCCATAAGGACGACTGAGGCCTCATGTATCAACTGTGCGTAACATCAGAAGAAAACGTCCACGCAGACGTCAGGATGTATCAAAACCAACATTGCATGAAAATGTGTAAAAAAAAAAACAACGCACACCTTTCACCTGCCCTGAGAATGTGTGTGTACAACCACAGACATGAAAACAGAAAACACACCAAAAATGATCAAAACAACCTCAATCTGATGTAAACTGTAAAGTTTATTTTATTTCTGTGACGTGTAGATATAAACACATGTCAGAGATCACATGCACACACAGTCAAGGAGAATAAAATGTGTGTGAATTGTCTAAGAGTCACTTTCATTCTCTGTGAGGAGAAAACAAATCAGCAGAWTACTTGAGAAGAATTCACCTGTGATGATTCCTCGATTCCTCAGGTCAACAAGATGCAGACAACAGATTTGTTTATAAATAGCTGCATAAAGTTGTGTGTAATTCATGGAAAAATCTCAGCTATCGCATGGCTGGATGACATCGGCACAAGTAGAATTAAGAGCCAGCGTGTTTTTGGGGATCACACAAACCAAATGCTTAGCATATATTTCACTGCGGTTCCAGAACCAAGCCTTGCAGCTGAATGGGACAGCTTTATATGTATTATTCAGAAATTGAAGTCCTATCCGATGCTGAAAACTCTCCATTGAGGCGCTGCATTTTCCTCACATCAACTATTTAAAAAATAAAGCTTTAATCTACCAAACTCCTGAATTCCTTTGTGTTTACAGTAGTTTGGTTAATAAACATGAGTTGTCTGTAGTTGTTATTTCCTCTGACCCTAAATCTGACTTCCTTTGATTGACTTCCATTACATTCCTACAGTCTAACCCTGACCACAAACCCTAAGGCTAACCTCACAGGTACCTACCTGACCCTAAAACTAACCTAAACTCAATTCACACCTTGGTCCTAAACCCAACCCCCAACTCACCAATGACATTTAAACCAAACAGCGACTCAACTTAGGTCCCCAAATGCACCAGTTGTCCCCAAAGGTAAGCTTTTTGTCTTAAAATTGCCCCCAAATGTCACCAAAAACCCCCCCCCCCCCACACACACAGGCATTTTCTGTCACACACTCTTTGTTTTATGGCCTCGTATCACCACACATAAGTATTTTATGGGAAGTCTTTGTTTTTACGATAGAATGACTTCCAAAGCACCACTTTAGAATCCTGTCTGTTAGAAATGAAAAAGAAAAAAAAGTTTTGTTACACGACAGTCACTCCTGTCCGTTTTGAAGAGGTTATGTTAAATAGGTATGAACATTTAATCATGAGCTTGTTAGTACAGTAGAGCAGGATCAATTCACAGCAGATTTAATATTTTTATGTTGTTTGAAGCAGCTGCCAATTTGACCTCAGACTAACAGATTGTATAATTCACACTCTACTTCTTCCCCCTGGTTTAATGAGTTGTAGGTCAGAAGAGAAGATGTGAACCAGGATGAAGACTTCTCTGGACCAACTAAACTCTCCTCTACACGAGTGATTCGAGATGCAGGACAGGTCATTTTTTAACTATTATGTGTTAAATAGTTGGAAGTCTCCAGGAGTCTTTATGGAAACATTCATTAAATGCCAATCATTGAAACAATGAATGAATTAATTGACTAATTAATTAATTAATTAATTCTGTGGATGATTATAGAATAAAAAACTATTTATTTTAGGATTAAATCTTGTATGATATTTGTTGTTTATCTCTAAACGTCCCTATATTGAATTACTGTGTTAATGTTTTATCCATACTCTTCCAGACCCCTGTAGGAGCACCGTCCTTTCAATTCTACACCAGTATTCCGTGGGAGCTGAAACAAAGAMCCATCAGACTGTTTCAGCAGGCATCTCGCAAGGTACACAAGCACCCAGCCATCTYTTCAATTCACCTGATGCCTTACCTGTGATTATAACTACAAACAACTTCCAACAAATTTCTTTTTGCAGGTGGTGATCAGGTGTCGCATGAACCGGAGACTGGCCTCTTTAAAGAAACTAGCAAGCAACTTGAAGAACCCACCTTCAGTGCCGAAAGGTTTTAAATATCCTGCAACTAAACTCTGTCAGTGAAACCTTCATAATGGGGTAAATGGAGGTGGTTAATATTGAGAAGGTGACGTTAAGTAGAACAGGTGTCAATATTGAWACAGATAAAGAATACAAAGTGAGCCGTCAAGGATGACACCCATATAAAWTTTTTTTAATTTTGAAAGYGTGTTTTTGGCATGAAAAGCCCTCAGTGATGAGGGTGTTGCTTCGGTCAGTAGTGGTCAATGGTGGGCACAGCTAACCAAAATATTAGGTTCACTAGTAACCACTAATCCACTAAATAAGAATCTTAGCTCTACTGATACTAAACAGATTTAAGAAAAATTAGCAGAAGCTAACGCCAGACGACTGGTGGGGCTGATGCAAACCTGTTATTAGTTTTCAATTGATTTCATTGGAAGGTGGGTGGGATCATCRGTGGCAAATCAGCCAATCGTTATAGCTCTGTCTAACTTGTGAATACTTCTTAAAGTGATCAAACTCAGACTTAGGTTGAGGAGCTCAGAGTAGAACTGTTGCTCCTCTGCATTGACAGGAGTCAAGGGTCCATTTAGTTGGAGAAAATTGTAAGAAAACTAGTAATTGAGCTCACTGAGGCAATCAGTCAGGGTGGAAGGAGGGAGGCTGGGTTTGGTAGGTCTGGGTGTCATCCAGTGAAAATGGAAACATYATTTATGAAAAATATGGTCTAAGGGAAGAAGATGGTAATGAAAATGAGYGGCCCGAGGATAGAGCCTTGGGGTACACCAGTAGAGTCAGAGGAAGACCAAAAACTGAAAGACTGCAGTTATGCTAGTTAAAAGCATTCAGAAATGATAACAATATTTAAAAAAATGAATGATTTATAAATGTGTAGAAGACCTGATCTTTCCYCTTTGTCACCTTTTCATTTGTTTTAGTTCAGGAAAAGAAAATGTCCAAATTTAAAATTTCTCCAGCCCAAGTGTTTCCATCATCTTTTCCCATCTTTCCTGTGGAGGAGGAAGAGGAGGATGATCCTTCGGTGGGTACCACACATAGCTTCAAACTTAGAAACTCCAGACATGAAGCCAGTGTTCCTACAAATTCTGGGAAAGTAGAATTTMGTTTTAAGAAGTTCTGGGTCTGGATAAATGAGGAGGAAAACATTTTTGCTATGACTTGTTCCCTAATTCTAACATAGAAAAAGTTTAAACCCAAAATACTTAAACAAGACAAGTAACCATTAACACAAGTTGTGTATAAAAGACTTATATAACCATTCTTTTGGCTTTTTAAATCTTCTGTAATTTTTTTTCATTCATGTTGCGGATGACTCTCAGTTACTGCCACACCAAATTTTACCTCAATACTGTTAAATCAGCTTAAGTTTTGCCATTTTTGTGTTCGCCATGTTTGATTGGCTGCGGCAGTCATTTTAAAACAGTTATTTGGTTGTAGATATTCATCCAATGATGACTTTCAGAAAGTTCAGTGAAACCCATTTTTTTGCTACCGGACACACAAACACTCAGGCAATTACATGAACACTTCACCATGGAAGCAGGTAGTGAGAGAAATCTTTTATTTAAAATTTAGTTGGTAGAGTGTTTCAACAGAGTACAAATGTTRTTATTTTGTTTTTTCATGTGTTGATGTGGACTTTGTCACCACCTAGTTTTACTGTATGGGTATTGCAGCATTTTTGTTAAAACCATGTTCACGAAGACACAAAAACATCTGATTAAAACATTATTTGAGTTTGTTAACTGGGCCTAAATGTTGATGTCTTTTAAATAAAAGACAGTGCTGGTGGTTATAAAGTTTTTTTTCCTCATTTTACTATAGTTGTGAGCATAGTTTTACCAGTTTTAGGCATAAATTTACATACATTTGAAATGAAAATGACTGAAAAATCTACAAAAAATAAACCCTGAAAATTTAAGTAAATTCCAAKTTAAGTAAAGACTCTGACTCTCAGATATGTCTGGTATAATTGATCACTTTAAACAAAATATTTTTGATAAATCATGTGTAATTAAAGTCCTAACCCACCTGGCTGGGTGTGGCTCTTGGTGTCGGACACATGAAACGATTAGGAAAGAAATCTCAGAACAAACTGTAGAAGCAGAGACTCAAGTCTCAGATTAAATCTTTCATTGTTCAGATGCCCTGCAGAGTGAGACAGAGAGAGAAGGTCCTCAGCGTTGAGCTGAACAAATACTTCCATTTGTCTTCTTGATGTTTCCAGACTCTCAGGAATTTGGCTGAAGTGCCTGCGGACCCCATCAATGTGACTGTGACAACACAKATCCCTTTCTTCAAGCTTCAAGTACGTATTTACCTCAATACCTGTTGTTTCTTTCTGGGTTTGTATCAAAACGCTGTGCTGGATTCAACTATGTAATCACACAAAATCAGCTGTTTATTTAAGGGCTTTTTTCTGAGGGCAGGAGACAATGATCAGATGTTCTCCCACAGAAGAGAAAAGTTCCCTCAAAAAGCAGCCTCATCCTTCATTCATTCGTCATACATTTATAATTATTTACATCACTCCTTATAGCAGGGGTCTCCAACCAGTAGCTCATAAGCTCATTTAAAGTAGCTCTTCGATGCTTTTGAAAAATTAGAAGCAAAATTTAATTTGTCACTGGCCAAATAAACTTTCATTTAATTCCAATCAGTCCATTGATGTCCCTTCCTCTTGGTTGTCAATCAAACAGTCAGGGCTCAGTGTGGTCGATTGGCAGACAACTCGTGGTTAAGTGGTTGTTCAGTGTTCGTTTTCGCACACACCTTTCATAGCCCCTCGAGACACACTGTGCCAAACTCCTGGGAAACCCCTTCGGCTGCGGTATACATCATTGCATGGGGTTTCTCCCTGCAGGAGTCTACAAAGCGAAAAAAAAAATTGTAGACCCGTCACCTGACGTTATTTGTGCACAAATCTGTTGCAGTTAAACCTTAAGTTAGTAGTGTGAAATGCAATATAATATGAATGGATAAACACAAAAAGCACATTTGTGTTAATTCAGTGTTCTTTGTGGTGGTTTCATGTGAATTGAAGACAATGTTTTTTGTGCAAATCAAGCTTATTCCAGTGGTTTGAGTTTTGCAAAAAGTAGCTTTTATACAATTTCATTTTGTGAAAGTAGCTCTTAAGGGAAATAAAAYGTTGGAGACCCCTGAAAGCAATGGTTCTCAAACTTTTTCTGTCTTTCCCTGCCCCCTTTAGGATAATTTGGTATTGATAAGTGGGGATGGATTAAGAACCCAAATGAGTGGAGGTCTCGTAAGTAAGCCCATTGCTCTCCCCAAAAAAAATCACTGAGTTTTATTCAAACCTTTGCGTCTGTTGCATCGTCAGATTTAATAGCAGGATCCTGCTGGAACAAAAAACAGTGACAGATCAGGAATGTGGAACTGACTGGAGGCACCAGGTGATGTTAATAAACCGAACAATCAGGACGGTAAGAGGAGGAAAGTAGGACAAGGGTGCTGGAAAAAAACCTCACCTCAAGGTTCAGATGTCTATAGAAGACATGGGTAGGACAAATGAATTGGGGGGGAATTGTGATGTCATCAGGGTTATTTMTTCAAGTAGATGGTATTAATTGGACATTTATGTTGTGTTTGGGCTGTAGATAATTTGAGTTTAAACAAGAAAGTAATTTGATGTGAAATTTTGATTTTGATAACAATAGAACTTTAAGTTAAATCAATAATTCTAAACAAATTAAAATTATGGAAAAAATAATTTAATTGGTAAAAGAAAAATTAGTTGTGTGAAATCATTAACTTATGGATCACTTACCGATTTTGAGATAAGGCATTTTTTTTGCTTGTTTAAAGGTTTTGAACCTTTTTGCTACTGCTACAACTAACTACTAATACTAAACTACAGCTACCTACTACTAACTATTAATGCTGGACTACTGTTGTTGCTACTGAATGCTGCAAATTGATGTTACATTTGAAGATCGGCTGTMTGAGAAGCACAAAAATAAAATAAACAGCATCAGAGCCAACCAGTTGTTACCTTGCATCATTCTAAGAACCAGAACATTTTTTTTTTACGTTTGGGCAGGAGTTGATTTTTAAAAATTTATTAAGAACGTGATGGCGTCCCTCGGATGAAGGACACGAGGTCTGAAACACTTAGTGTTCTGAGCTTCTTGGGATCCATGAAGAGTTCCCCAAGAACTCTTTCATTTTGTCTGCTCAGAGCCAGGCAGGAGGACTGTCTGTGACCATCGGSGAAACAAAGCGGCCACTGTTCAAAAGAATGAGCCAACACAAAAGATCAACATCATCAGGCAGGACTCTGTTGTTTACACTCATTTACAGGCCAGCGGTCACTCTTTCAGAGATGAGGATGTTCTCATCCTTGATAGAGAGGAACATTGGTTTGAGAGAGGAGTAAAGGAAGCCGTCTTTGTGAAGGGGATGATTAAACTAAGATCCTGATGATGTTACAGATGTTTTAGACAAATCTTGAACATAACACTGAGTGCAGATGACACTCCGAGTTTGTGTTGAAAATGACTCTCAGTTCTCACCACATCAAACCTCAGCTCAATATCCATACAGCTGTCTGGGTTTGAGCTATTTTTTATGTCGATCAGCTGTGGCGTCTATCTTGAATGAGACTGACTCCACAGATTTGTCATAGACATCTTTTCTGTGGGTTTCCTTAAAATCCGTCCAGTTGTTCATCAGATATTTTACTAACAGATACAGTCAAGCARAGGGACTCTATAAAGAGCAGAACCTGAGTGGAGAGGAACCTCATGGTAAAATAAATTACTCAGTATTTAAAACTTTTAGAGCAGTTTGCTCCAATCTCTTCATGCTTCATCAAATCATTCATGATGATTTTGTTTAACTGAGTAGAAGAAAAACAGTATAAAATCTGCAGACGTCTGATATGAATCCTGTCAGATGGAGTAGCAGGGTGGCATTTTATTTTTCTGCAGCAACAAGGTTCATGTTGAAAAGCTCCAGAATTCTTCCTCAGTTTTTAAAAAAACAAAGTGTTGGAGACGCTCACTTCAYTGTAGGACTGAAAATGATTTTTTTTTCAGGTGTTGAGAGATTTTCAATTGATCTGAAGTTTGAGTGTTTAAAGAAACGGGAAATAAAATTCAGGTTTTTAAAGCAGCAGGTGACAAAAGGAGCTGAAGTAATGTTCAAATAGAGAAAAATACTGGTCTCAAGSCACCAATTTGTAAATAAACACCATTTTTTTCTAGGAGCCACTTTTCTTTTTACTTTTCATATATTTCATACRTCAAAACTGAATCAATAAACAAAAGATTTTGGTCTCTGRAGACATTAAATACGTTTTGATCCARAARATGAAGTTTAAAAGACACGGGTTCATCTCTTGGTTTGTTTTAARGTTTTAAGCATGTTCTCTGCTGTCCAGGTTCCTCAGCACTATGAGCTTATGAGGTACCGACCCGTTTCAGCCTGGGAGGCGTTCAACAACTACACTCCGACAACTCTGGCCAGGCCTCTTCGCACCGGAGCTTCAGTAAATATTCAGCATCTGTGCTTAAAGGGATTCCCAATTACTTGTAACATTAGACATTATTTGATAAACATTAACTTCAACTGTAAACAAAGACTGTAAAAATACTGTGGGCTGTTTAGTTTTTATAAATAAAAAAGATACATATTGTCACACAGACGGCACCATTTTATTAACGCCGCAAAGAAAACCAGGAAAATGATGACATTRACTAGGTTTTCTGGTTCCCATTTTATGTCTATCAGATTATGTCTAATGCTAAAACTAGTTGGGGATCCCTGTTGGCTTTTATCATAAAATCGTACAAATCTTCTAACTTAGCTTCTAAAAGACCTGAGCGCTCGCTTCAAATCTCTTCTTTAGGAGGAGCTGCAGCCTGTCGTCTCAAAGGCCGAAGAGCCAAGAATAATGGAGCTGAAAGCAGAGGATGAAGAGGAGTGTGAGGAGCTGAAGGACACTGCTGAGTCCTCCATCAGAGCTCCTGAGGCTTTGCTCAGACCGGTCCCTGCAAACCCTCTCAGTATCTTTGTAATCTGATTACCTTATTGTCACCTTTTGGATTTTAGTTCCTGTTTTTACCATTCTACTACTTTATTTTAATACGTTCAGTTCTTAARGTCACACTAATTATAGCTTTATTTAACATTTTGCTGCTTTCTGTTAGCAAGTAGCTAATGTTGGCTCTTAGCTAGTGTTTTCACACTGGCTAAATATAGGTGCTTTTCTCCTTGTTGCTAGCATTTTTCTAATTCCTGTGCTTGCCTAGCAGTTATATTAATTCTGCCTATCAGAACACAGTTATGATATGTTTTTTTTGAGCGTCAGGGCCCTCAGGTGTTTATGCAAAGTCTATGGTGGACGCACATCAAGGGGCGTTGGGAAGTGCTGCGGCACGTTTTGAGAGTTCGATGTGCGTTTATGGAGCTGGAGCTGAAAAATCTGTAGTTTTGCAGCTTGACACAAAATGTCACTCAATCAGAGAAACTCCACTATGTGACGTAGTTACACTTTTTCTGACTACCTGAATGATGCAACACTAACCTGAGACAGATGGACAGGAGCTCTTCAGCTGAAATCCAGTGCCTGTAGTCAGTGTCCTGGCAGGAGATGTCAGCACTGATGTGGGTCAGCAGCTCATCAAACGGAGCTCGGGACAAAAATATTTCTGAAATTGAGCCTCGTCAGCACAAAGCTTCTGTGTGGTGAAACTCACCAAACTCAGAACGTCTCTTTATTATCTGGTGAGCGTGACGTTCTCTTGCTCTCAGTAAATAAAGCAAAGCCACTTTCTTTATTTAATCCACCATTAAACAGAGACCAGCAGAGGAGGCTCTCGACACACTTGATGCGCCATCCATCCATCCATCCATCCATCCATCCATCCATCCATCCATCCATCCATCCATCCATCCATCCATCCATCCATCCATCCATCCATTTTC